ATATGTAAACCTTGCCAAGGGTCATAAAAAAGATACAACCTTAAAGAGAAAAAAAATATATTCTAAGCTTACTGACCGATACGAATACAATGTTAGAAATTGTAAAAAAGTTGAACCAAGGTCTTAGAACAAAAAGAAATTAAAACATTGGCAAAATTAGTTGGTGGTGTAAATGTAAAACAAAAGAATAAAAATGTGCAATATTAAAAAACATTGGCTAAAGACATCAAAAAACTACCATGTAAACAGCACAAAGATAAACAAATTGAATAAAGAATACATGAAAACTAATTTCTCAAAATTGACTTTTTGTGGTAAATGTAGAACAACATTGGATAGATTTGATGGTTAGACTAGAGATTGGGTCAATTAACATTGGTGAAGTATAGTAATATTTTAAGTATTAAAATTATAGGTACCTTCAAAGTTGATGATGGTGTTAAGATACATGCAGAGAATTATAGTAAGTTCTTAGACAACATTGTTTCAGCATTACAAATCAGAAACAAGAAACTCTAAGGAAAACAATGTTCCTTCATATTCTGCAAAGTTGGCTATTGCCCATTTTAGGCAAAGAGGCTTCAAAGATATTAATGGAATGGCACCTAGCCCTTCTAGATATTAACCAACAGAAACTTGTGCTCCATCATTAAAAAGACATGCATATGAGAATGGAAAGCAATATTCAAGCTAATAAGATCTTTGGAAATCAATAAAACTACTGAAGTGATGTTAAAGTAGAAAGAATAGAAAAGTTAACAAAATCAATGGATTAAAGACTGATGAAAGTTTTAGAATGTCAACAAACCAATATTAAAATGTAAAATAATAATTTATTCCAGTATAAGAGATATGTTTCTTCATTAAATATGTTTCTGTAGCTTATTTCTTTTATTAGATTTATCCATAAATAAATTATATTGCACTTTGTATAATAAAATCAGACATCTACCAAGACAAGCTATTATTAATATTTTCAAAAAGGATAGATATTATGAGCTGAAACTCACATGATATTTTGCTCAGAAAAAGATATCCTGAAATATTTTACCAACATCACTTGGTTAGTACTAATTTTATTGATAATTCTGACCTGCATAATCAAATCTGACATACAAGTTTAAACATCTCAATGACATGTTTCATAAATTTATCTGCTTAAAAGTAAACTTTGGGGATTAATATATACTTAGCCAATTGCTTTAGAGGTACATGGCCGAGTGGTTAGAATGTTCCCTTTCCAAACATTAGCCCTGGGTTCAAATCTCACCATTTCTCTATTTGTTAGGAAGGCGGCTTTTTTGATGTCATCATCCTGGGAAGGTGATTCCAGGATAGGGCACGTTTGGAAAGTGTCTAAAGATCATACTACAGGTTGACCCAAGTCTTGTGAGTAAAATTTGATAGACAGAACTAGTTGGAGAGCTGTCGATGGTTGTGCTAACACAAAATTACAAGTTATCATGACCAAGGGTTTGAATGTACAGCCTTGTTCAGACTAGATCAAATCAGTTAATGCACTCTCTCCCAGAAATTTCAACTATGATTCATTCAGCATATTCAGCATAGTTATAGTGTAAACCACAGGTGGGCTCTAGGGGTGTTGAACAAACACAAATGTGCCTGAGCAGTTGTCTGCAACAGGGACTAGATAGCCACCCAAGTATACAGGCATTCCCAGCTACAAGCAGACAGCTATTAGCGAATAACTTTTATGTCATATATGTCATCTGAACTGATATCCTGTTATACAGGAAAGAACATAATATTCAGTCAAGAGGCTTCAAGGCAAAAATACATAGTAAACTTATAAACAGTGAAAGCTTCAACAGATAATGAGATTAAAAATAAATATATAATAAACAGAATACATATCAAATAATGCCTTTAACATTTTTTTTTAATTTACAGGTATTAATATGTGATGAAATATAATAAAAGCATTATGAATGACATTAATCAGGCAAAACAAAATAACAATCTTCAAGTTAAATGCAGAACTGACACTCGCAAATTAGGTAACTCTCTTGAAAGATTAGTGATATTCATCAGTATATCAAGTGCTTTTGTTTGTAATGTCTCTCTTTTTGCTGCATTAGAATTATTTCCTGTGTATAGACAGCATGCCAGGTAGCAACGCATTTGTTGTAACAATAGCAGACAGTTCCAATTCAAAAGTGCAAAGTACAGAAATAATAATTTGAAAGAATATATTTATGTAGTCATTTTTGACAACATACATAACCTAGCTTCTAAATAAAATCTAAAAGAATCTGTTTTCTTCATCAAATAAAAAAAAATGTAAACTTCATTGAATTACCTATCCAACAAAACCCGAGAAAATTTCAAAGATTGAAACAAAGAAACAAAAGAAGAGATACTTCATAAATCTTCTTTTTTTTTCTTTTTAAACTGCAAAACCATATATAATCTCATTGTTACATTTTATATGTTGGGAATTTTGAACTGAAACTCTAACAGGTACATTATCTTTCAAGGCACAGAGCAATGAATTATTGGTAAACCAAATCACTTGTCCTCAAATATGTGTGCAGATTACCTACACAGTCAAGAAAACTATATTTTTTTTTAACAAATGAAATAAGTTTCATGACAAATGTAAAATGTTTTCAAAATCTTATTAAAATGTTTCAGTTCCTTCAAGGGTTTCAGTTTTGCAAACATGTGATGCAGATGTTAATATGCCACTAGAAAAGAATAAACAAAATACAATAGTATAAAAGAAATGGTATCTTTTAATGTAAAAAACAGTGCAGAGAGAAAAAACTCTATAAGAATCTATACATCATTAAAACATATGGAACTAGAGAAAAGATGAAACTAAGATATCAACTCCCTCTTGGAAAGAGAAAGAATAGTTAGTATTAATTTTCCACTAGTTTTATTTTTTCATTTTATTACTGCATTTTATCCAAGCACTCAAATCATTTCACATTCTACAACAAATAGGGTATGTAGCATTGATCAGAAATAAAGCAGATTTGAACTGACATCTTAATAGAATAATTACTTGCTTCCAGTTTATCAACTTTAGGATTTCTTTTCTTTTGTGAGATATCAGGCTGGTGAATCTGCTTCCTAATCTACACAACAACTTAATCATTAACCCAAATTATGCTTTAAATCAGACTGTTAAAATTTAAGCAGGAAAGATACAAAAAAGTCTTTATTCATTTGTTATAAATAGCTATTCATCTATATCCTCAAATACTACAGAATTCTGACATTTTCCTAAGATACAAGTCTATGAGAAAGATTTTTGGTGGGAAACAAATTACTTTGTGAATTTCAGTTAAAACTAAAATCTAAATAAGTGTAATGGTATTATAAATAAAATACAAATCAATTTGAGTTTCTTTTTAAATTCTACTAATCCTAATTTGCTTCAGGTAATAACAGGAGTCAAATGACTACAGAGTGCAAACAGTATTTAACATTTTTGCTTGTTCAGGTAAGACTGTCAGAGAAATAAGACAATTCATCTAAGAATTCAAGGTTTGGTTATTATTTGAATTATATGAAAGAAAAACTTTTAAACACTTCTTTGCAAAAAGATTTTTTAAAGTGTTCCATTCTTGATGTCAAAAGTTAGAGTTAATTGAGTTTATTATAAATTGTAATTCTGAAGCTGAATCAAGAAATAGCTGAGCATATATCAAGTTTCAGGGAGAAATTGTTGGCACTAGAGGTACAGTTTGAAAAGAATTTGTAAAGAGTTTCTCGTTATTGTAGGTAATTATCATCATCAACTCGTTTCAGATTTTCAACTATGAAAAATTATGAATATGAAAATTAAAAAAAAAAAAAAGATTTTAATCTAGAGCTGGCAAAGGCCAAATTCTATGTAGGACAAGATTTGCTTTTAGTAATCTCTGATATAACTAAAGAATAATAAAGCAGATGGTGTTATTGTTATCACTCAAGTAAATTAAGATAATATTGCTGCCTAACTACCTTCTATGCTGGCCAGAAGTTGTTTGGTCAATGTGAATACATTTGTAAAAATTATATTAGAATATTTGTATCACTTGCTTTGTCCTAAATATAAAAATATGATTTATTAATTCTTATCTATGCAAAGATGGAAAATATTAATAAATCAGAGAAAGAAGAAAAAAAAAAAAAACTTTGCTTGACTGTGATAAGGAAGAAAACTCAATTTGCTACATTTTTGCGAGTAAAGTAATTGGAACTGATTAAAAGAAAGTAGATGAAAAGAGTGTTTTAAAAACAAAATTATCAAGATAAAAAGAAAATAGATATTGAAGACTGATTTTTGATAAACAGGTGGAATATATTCAGACCTGCCTTTAGAGAAAATAAATATCATTAGAGTGGTCTTCAATATAACTATGCATCAAAGATCACAGAACATCTCCAGCACCTGTCTCTTAAAATTCTGAAGAGGAGACAAAATAGTCAAACTGAGAAGGAAAGAAAAAGATAAGAAAATTGGCTAAGATATAAAGTACACCTGTTAGTAGACATTTTGATTCATTTTCAAAGACCTGTCGTGTTTAAGTGAATTAATAAAAACTACCAAAATATCATTGTTAGGAAAGCAAATCTTTTTATTATTTGTGTTATATGAACAAGAAACCTACTGAGTCATAAACAAAATGTGATATAATTCTATAATATACTGTATGACAAAATAGTCTACCAGATGAAACAAACTTTTCAAACAGTAGGTTTTTTATGATTCATACTAAGGCCTAACATCTCTATTTGAATGAAATTTTCAAAAAGAAATAAAGAATGTAAGAGTTAAATATTAATAAAATTATAACTATTCTCATTATATCTTTAAAAAATTACCATTTAAAAATTTTTAATATATAAATTAGAGAGAGAGAGGGGGGGATGTCCATCTAAATTATGTTCTTTTAAAAGAAGAATTTCTAAGCAACAAGATTACCATGGTAAACTTTAAAAGAAAAATGAAGTTGAGACAATCACATCAAGAAATGTGTACTTACTTTAATAATACCATTAGGGATCTCTGGTTCATCCCATAGCAATGCTATAGTAGTAGCACTGGCAGCTTTTCCACGTAAATTTCTAGGAGCTGTCCCAGGTGCTGCAATAGAATGAAATTGTATTAAATACCAAGAAACTGAAGTTTGATTTGAAGCAGTTGTCTTTTTGTGGTTCAAATATGAAAGATTCAAAAGACTTACATAACAAGTATCACAATCATATAAAAAAATCATGATTTGCCAATGGTCTGCAACAGAATGCTCACAATCAAAATAATCATTAAATAATAAATACAAATATTTTAATGCAAAAGCAGTTTTCAAGCCATTTAAAAAAAAATAAAAATGAACTTTTTACTGTTAGAAAAGAAGTAACACAATCCATACATTTCATATTCAGAAGAAATTAAAATTATTTAAAAAATATGAAAAATAAATTTATTTTGATAAAAACTTTTTAAAAGTTAACATTTTAACATTTTATATATCAAATCATTGTCAATTTAAAGCAAGTTTAATTGTTATAAAGAAACAAAATCAAGAAATTATAAAGACAAGTGATAAGATGATGACAAACTATTAAAACTGAACAGAAAATATACGAGACAGATAATCCAATCATATTCAGTGAAAATTTCTAAAGCAAGCATTGAGTCATCGTATTATTAAAACATTTAAATCACTGAGAGAACTAGAAAATACAGAACAATATACAATATATAAGAAACAAATAAAAATCAGAATATCCCAAATCATACTTAATTTAGTCAATTTTGAGTAATAAATTTTTGTGAGAGACAGACAAAGAGAAAAGCAAAAACTTTTGATTAAACACAAAACATAGAATTAAAAGTGATATGGAAATACATTTGTTACAGTTAGACAATTCTGGCTTATTTTGCTCAGAGAAAATAACTAGTGACCAAAACTGATCATAATATATGGGTTTTCAAAAATGTTTCCTTTTTTCCATACAGTTATCTTCCAAACAGTGAAATTAGCTTATTATTTAATACTTACTATAGCATTATTTATAAAGAATAATTAGAATTACACCAAAAGAATCACTTATCTAAAGCAACACTAAGTACATATTTTAAAGAAACCCCAAAAGCAAATCACCATACATTAAAAACATCTTCTAAAATCCAGCAACATATTTACAGCAATGAACAAATAATTATTGAAAGAGATTTCCTATAAACAAATAGATTATGCCCATCCAATTTTTTTTTTTTTACACTAATCCAAAACAATGATTTATATTACAGTATTCCAAAACATATTGTACAATGAGAAATTCATAAAGAAAACCTTATTAAAATCTTTTTCTCTAGTTCTTCTAAACATCTAAAATAAGATAAAATGGTTTTGATTTATCCCAAAAGAATAATTAGTACAAGCTGTAATATCAATTAATAAACTACTATAAAACTAAAATATACACCACTGTGCTGAATAACTTTTGTTCTTATTTATGCTATCATTATAAAAAATAAATTAAACTCGGAAAATGACTAACTTCTACCTTAATGCAGTATTAGCATTAGAGCACTTTCTAATCTGACAACTGAAATAGTCAGACAATATTTTTTAACCATTTCTTTAAGTATTGATTATTTCAGGAAATTAATATTCCTTTCTGGCTTCTATCACTTTCATACTATTTAAATAAAAGTTTGTTCTTAAAATTTCTAAAATACTGATTATTCCTTTTACCAATACCATTTGCCATTCCCCAGCAGACTGTAATTTTAATTGCTAGTTTTCAAAAAGATTTTGGTCATTTGTGTATTGGTAATTATGTGTTTCTTTGACAAAGGCTAGTTTTCCATCCACCCTTCAATGTGCATTAAATCTTTTCAGCTGCAATGCAATCCTTGTTCTTTATTAAAATATCAACAACAAAAAAAAGAAAAAAAAAACATTTGATTACTTGCTTTCCTGAGCAACTAATATTCAATTTTTTTTTTTTCAGATTCAATCATCTTTGATATTTCATTTTGAAATTTGTCACTTTTTACTTGTTTTCAATAATATCCTTGTTGTTTCAGTTATACAGATTCTATGCTTCATTATTATTTAAAGTGGGCATTGCACAAATGAGAAAACATTTTAAATGGGATTTTGTGCATATCTGCCAACTTGAAATCTCTTTAAAGAGAAACAGTCACAGAGAATGAAGACATTTAATATCTCTAAAAAGAATAAAAAAAAAACAGTTGTTCCAAATTTCTAGTTACCAACTGGAAAAAGGTTTAGATGTTCAGAGAACATTCTAGAACAAACTGAAAAAAATACTGAAAGGCTCAATAATTAAATCAATTATTATAAAGAAAATGCACAAAGAAGCACTCAAACTTAAATCAGTATTAGTCATTATTAATAGCAACTTTAAGCAGAGAAGTGAGATTGGTGCTATGTGATTGTAATATTTTATCATCTAACAGAATGCAATGAACATTCATTTATTAGAAATGTTCATAATAAAATCATGAAATCATAAATAATTGCATTATAGATTTTACAAATACTAGAGTGATTATTTTGTAAAAGACCCTCTGTATTGGTTTTAAAATATTTTCTTTTTACTAGTCCAGTAGTATAATGATTATTCTTTATCTAGCATAACAAATAAATAAGCTTTTAAACCTGATGCTATAATCATGGAACTGTATATAATGACCAGAAAAGGAATAAATACATAAAGATTAGCAAGTCAGCATTACCTTATAGATTTCTAATTAATAATTCAAGACAGTTTGATTTTTTTAGAAGGATAAATTTGTGTGGCATTTCAGATTGACAGACACAATTAAGTAAATTTTCCAGCATTGCAAATTGCAATACATGAAATATTGAACAGAGATGAAACTAAGTGCATTATCAATGATAAAAGAAATTTCTAACCAAATTACTTTGTGCACAACATAATTATAAAGAAGAAGAAAGTGCCATATCAAATTTTGATGTTTCTGTACAAATATTTAAATTCAGACTGCATTTGAGCTCTCTTTTTGTTAACTGTTTATCAAAAGTTGATCTAACTGTAATGAAAGAAAAAATATCTATAAATGAATGATACTAACAGAAATTCTATCCAGAGAAAATATAAATGCTAAGTTTGTTTGTTACTAAGATAAAACAGTTTTACACTAACATTTTCTTATAAAAGGTAAAGATTTTATAAATTTAAATGATTAAGAATAAATGTGAGTAGTTAAAAAGTTCCACAATAATAATAATAAATAACTGAAACACACATACACAAACAAAGAGATCAACTTTACTGAACAAAAAAATTACATGAGCCAGATTATGATTGGTTACAGTTTTGTGACATGTTAATTACAAGGATGTCTGCATTAATAATCACCTTAAATGTAATAAGCAAATATAACATCAATATTTTGACAGTTAAATAGTAAATTTGCTCTCTTTAGCTATGTATTTAATATTATTCATTTATTATTACTAGTTTTCTATTTAACAAAAACAAGAAATATCAATAAATCTATAATTTTTGATTTTGTTTGAAATATTTGATTTAACTAGGATCCTAAGCTTTCTTTAATAAAAAATATGAAAAAGTGAGCTCTGTATTTATGAGAATTATATTTTCACTATCATTTTATTATTATAGTTATCAATGATAATGATATTAATATCATCATCACTTTTACAATAAAAGTCAAATTTTATAAGGATACTAAAAAGTTCAAACCCAACCATAAAGGTCTTTAAAAAAATTTTTTTTTTTTTTTAAATAAAAATCTGATCTTTGGATTAGATTTTAAGAAAGGTGCCAGTTCAAAGACTTTTCAGCACCTCCTTGCAACAATGTTTTTGTCTTTTTATAATCATTACAAATGTTTCAGTTCTTGTTTAAAAGTCTATTAGTTGGAACTGATCAAATGATATTTAATTGATCATCCTCTTAAGAAAGATATTCAATAAAATGGGAAATTTTGTGGAACAAGACACATGTTCAGACATTTAACTTAATTTTAAACAGTGAAAATTGCCTTTAGCTTGTAAACTAATGTAAAAAAAAAAGTTTCTGTTTTACTTGTAATTTTCCTATTTACTAAGAAAATATAATCAATGAAATACAATTAATTCAAAGTAAATTATGTTGTTTAGAAAATACCACAAATGAGAGAGGAGCTCTTATTAGATTTCAGATTTTTTCCCAAAAAGTTTATTTGGGAAATTCTCAGAAGAAAAAAAATGGTTGAAAACTTAACATGCTAAAGAATCATAGTCTACTTTTACGAGTTTAATGTTACCATTAAGATTCATGTACATACATAAGTATTTTTGAGTTACGAAAAGTTGCTGAATAAAATAATCATCAATTATTATTATAATTTCTTCATAAAATATTAAAATCTCTTCTTGTCATTACTTTTCTCCTCAGTGGAAAACTGAAAAAAAAAAAAATATGAGTCTTTAAATGATTGTGATTTGTTTAAAGTTCCATTATTTTTTTTATTTGTTTAAATGATTATTTTGATGAAACCTATCAAATTTGATAAATAGCTCCAAAATATATTTTCTTTTTCTTTCTGTCTTTACAGGACACATTTTTATTAGATAATATTAATTCTAAGGTTCTAAGAAATAACTGCTTCAGTAAACAAAATAAAACATAACAATGAATATCAAGTATTTTTAGATTTGCGCAACCATAATAATGATAATAAAAAAAGAAAAGAAACGGAAGGCGAGATAACAAGATGAAAATAACTATTTAAATAATTTCTCTATTACTCAATACTTTTTAAATAGTAGTCAGATGGATAAAATCTGAATATAGAAGGTTTATAAGAACTTTTAGTATGATGTAATCAACACCAAATTATATGGATTTGTTGAAGTCTAATAAGATCATTGGCAAAGTTAAAATAATGCGATATATAAAACCATCACTTTGGAAAAAGCAGAAAATATCCAAATCTTTATTCAAATAATTCCAGAATTAAAACTCTGATGCTATCCAATAATACTGGAACTATTAATAGTACTGTTTATAACAATAGGTTATAATTTTGGCCATTATTTATTCTCAAGAGATGCAAAAGAGGTTTATTATCTGTAC